ATAGTTTGAAACATGAGTATTGACGTGTGAAATTAAATTACTTATAATCAGTAGACTGGTAAGAAAACACTGAATGATGAGATTCATGAGTCATGAGAACAAGTCAACAAAAACATAAACATTGACAAACATATTGACAGAACCAGGACTAGAATTAGTTAATGTTTTGGTTGCTTGGTTTGGCTGATTGCTAAATGATCTAGATCAGTGTTTTTCAACCTATAGAAAAGTGTGTGGGCATCCCAAAAAATTATTCTTTATCCTCTAATGAGCTAAAGTAGGTAGGTTTTCTCTGCCAGTGTGTAGGATTCATACTTCCCTTCTGTGTGAAAAAGAATTGGCAGGCATGTCACTAATAAAATGGAAATTGAATAGACGTTACTGTAGCGCTTCGCATATCAGAAACAACGTCCCAGCCAAATATTTTTTAAACTTTATGGAGCGGCAGATGTCGCATTAGCTGAAAATTATAATTTGGTGACATTGGAATTAACAAAAGACAACCAAGCAAAAGTACAGGCAGAAATGTCGGCAAAGATGGCTGAGCTAATAACATCAAGTGACAATGTGGAAGCTGCGTGGCAAAAATTTAAGAACACTCTTCTGAACTGCCTAACAACACTCTGTGGTATTAGATACACAGGAGGAACGTTCAGGAAAAAAACAGCATGGTGGAATGATAAAGTAAAACAAGCAGTGAAATATAAAAAGGAGCAATACAAGAAATGGCTAAGATCCCGCTCAGATGACGATTATATCAAGTACAGAATTGCCAGGCGACAATCTGCAAGAGAAATTAAACAATCCAAGGAAACATCCTGGATCATGTATGGGGAAAATCTTACCAAAAATCTGTGCTAAATCTAGTAGACAGTTTTACAAAACCATTGCAAAAATGAGAAACTAGAGATGAACCATTCCAGCCATCTGAATATGTCAATGATAGTCAAGGCAAACCCATACATGAGGAGGGCAAGATTAGAGAAAGAAATATTTTCAGACTCTTCTGAATGTAACAGGAAATGAGGAAAACAGTACCATTCACACCCAGATGTACAAACGAGGAACAGCCTACAATAATCGAACAAGAAGTCAGAGAAGCAAAATCAGATGCAGTCCCAAAAATAAGGCATCAGGTGTTGATGGAATATCAGCCGAGGCAATACAGGGCTTGTGGAGAAATTGGAGTCACCTGGCTACTCCACATATTTAGGAAAAAGCCTGGAATGAAAGAACTGTACCAATAGACTGGCAAAGAGCCCTTATAGTCCCAATTTGGAAAAGAAAAAAGGCAATAAGCAAGATTGTAACAATTACAGAGGCATCTCCCTTCTAAACCACGTAGGATAAATGTTTGCCAAAATTCTGGAAACAACGAATTAGATCCGTTGTAGAACCGATCCTGAGCCCATCACAGGTCGGATTTAGGAAAGGAAGAGGGTGTACTGACGCTATTTTTGCTTTAAGACAAGTTAGCGAAAAGACAATAGAACACAGACATCAAATGAACATCGTTTTCATAGATCAAGAAAAAAGCTTTCGATAGAGTAAACAGAAATTTATTATGGAAAGTTCTTGAAAATTACGGTATAAATGGAACAATTTTAGATTGTGTTAGGGGCTATTTATAGACAAAGTGAAAGCGCCATTAGAACAAGAGCTGGCATCACAGACTGGTTCCCCAAGTAACATCAGGAGTAAGACAAGGTTGTGTATTATCACCTTTACTTTTTCATAATATTTTATGGACAATATTAATAAAATAGACATAACACCAACAGATGTCGATAAACAGGAGGACTTCAAAGAGCTGCTCTTTGCCGACGATCAATGCATATTTCACAATGATAGTAAAACAGCTGCAAGACCACATAAACCTACTACACGACAGTTGCCTCAAGCATCATATGAAGATCAATACTGAAAAAGACAGAAGTCATGAGCATAAGTAGAGAGCCACAGACCATCGACATAAAGATTCTAGATCACAGCCTAAAAGAAGTGCAAGAATTTAAATACTTGGGAGTATCTTTACATCCAATGGTAAAATAGACAGAGAGATCGAAGCAAGAAATTCAACAAGCCAACAATGTCGCATACCAGCTTGCCCCAATTTTAAAAAAACCCTGCTGTCCCAGCTGAGATAAAAAGACAAATTATAAATACAATCTTTATACCGACATTAGGTTATCAATGTCAGACTTGGACATTAACAAAAGAACACGAGAGAAGACTAACCACCTGTGAAATGAGATGTTTGAGAATGGCTGCGAATATAAAAAACCAGAAGAGATCGAGTGAGAAAACGATGTGATTACAAGAACTATTGGAACCATACCCATCGTTAAATTTATTGAGAAGCAAAGAATGAAATGGTTTGGTCACCTAATGAGAATGGAACCAACGATGCCAGCATCAAGAGCATACAACATGAAAATCGAAACACCAAGAGGCAAGGGAAGACCAAGAAGAAGATGGATTGAAGGAGTCACGGACAACTTGAGACTTCATAACATCACGGCATTTGAAGCGACTGAGCGCGCCCTGGCTCGGTTGCCGATCATCTGATAGACTGCGACGCCTAGCGGCACAAGCAGATTTTGACAAAAGAAGAAGAAGGAATTAACAAACAAACTGCTATCTAAATTTGTTTCTGTTTCGTGTCTAGTAAGTTGTCAGCTAGGGTCACGAAATATTTCCACTGTTTTGGTGGGCCGAGGGTGTAAACAGATTGAAGATCACTGATTTAGAATAATAGTTTCTTCTTTCTACGCGTTCACCAACTGTAGACTCTGGCGGAAAGTCCTGGCTGTTAGCACAGGGCTGGACCTTGTCTTGGTCGTCTGTAGACTCTGGCGGAAAGTCCTGGCTGTTAGCACAAGGCTGGACCTTGTCCTGGTCGTTAGCACAAGGCTGGAACTTTGCCCTGTTCCAGAACTTTAGTTTGGGTGTACATCTATTTTACAGATGTAGCTTCTTTCCGTCAAGACTGTTGGTCCCTGGCCTATCAGGCAGATATACTCCGACATGGCAGGAAACGTGGATCCTCTCTACGTGGGTTGGGCTCGATCCTCTCTACGTGGGTTGGGCTCCATCCTCTCTACGTGGGTTGGGCTCCATCCTCTCTACATGGGTTGGGCTCCATCCTCTCTACGTGGGTTGGGCTCCATCCTCTCTACGTGGGCTGGGCTCCATCCTCTCTACGTGTGCTGGGCTCCATCCTCTCTACGTGGGCTGGGCTCCATCCTCTCTACGTGGGCTGGGCTCCATCCTCTCTACGTGGGCTGGGCTCCATCCTCTCTACGTGGGCTGGGCTTCATCCTCTCTACGTGGGTTGGGCTCCATCCTCTCTACGTGGGTTGGGCTCCATCCTCTCTACGTGGGCTGGGCTCCATCCTCTCTACGTGGGTTGGGCTCCATCCTCTCTACGTGGGCTGGGCTCCATCCTCTCTACGTGGGTTGGGCTCCATCCTCTCTACGTGGGTTGGGCTTGATCCTTTCTACATGGGTTAGGCTCGATCCTTTCTACATGGGTTAGGCTCGATCCTTTCTACGTGGGTTGGGCTCCATCCTCTCTACGTGGGTTAGGCTCGATCCTCTCTACGTGGGCTGGGTTCGATCCTCTCTACGTTGGTTAGGCTCCATCCTCTCTACGTGGGCTGGGCTTGATCCTCTCTACGTGGGCTGGGCTCTATCCTCTCTACGTGGGTTAGGCTCCATCCTCTCTACGCGGGCTGGGCTTGATCCTCTCTACGTGGGCTGGGCTCCATCCTCTCTACGTGGGTTAGGCTCCATTCTCTCTACGTGGGCTGGGCTTGATCCTCTCTACGTGTGCTGGGCTCCATCCTCTCTACGTGGGCTGGGCTTGATCCTCTCTAGTGGGGTGGGCTCTCAGAGGCGATCCTGTCTCTAGCCAATGGTGTCCCAACGACACTGTGTTATGGGAAACATGATGATGATGAGAAGGACCTTTAGCAAAACAGTGTCTACAATCTAATACCGAGCACACGAATCACTCACTACACCCTCAATATACAATTTGACAAGATGGTGTTCAGGTAAAGTATCTGTCTCGTTATTCTGTATTTATATTACATTAAACAGATATTTTCCGTTTAATTAATTGTTACGTTATTTTACTCGTTTGTACAGGGGTAGGACAGCTGCCACTGTCCCGCACTGAGAGTCTGTCCGGAGAAGACTACGGCTGCCCACCTCTGTCCGGTCAAGGTTCTCCGGTGCCAGTACGTAGAGCGGCCTCCACGCAGACACCAGCGCTCCAATCACTTCTGGCATCTCATCCAAACACTGACGCAGTTCCTTTTCTATACAGTTCATACCCTCATGATTCACATCAAGATATCGCCGACACGTCTGTATCTGGAGCAGGAGGAGGATCTAAAGGAGGAAGTTTAGGAATGTCAATAGCAGGTGGTTTGCCCATCTCTACCTCACAAACTTCCATACAGCCTTTACTGTCATCGTCAAGAACTGCATCTAGTAGACTAAGAGAATTTCATCTTTCACGAAAGCCTTTGCATATACCATACAGCGAGTTTGAGCCATACAAAGCGGATATAAGAAAGCGTGTGGAACTTACCAGAACAGGTGGACTAGATGGTCTTCTGAGTATTCACATCATGTCTGGGCAAGGTCTGAAATCTTCAAAAACCAGTCTCAGAGATCTATACTGCGTTGTCGCTGTTGACTCTTTAAACAAAGCTCGAACGATGATCAGAACTGGTGCTATCAACTTCGACTGGGACGAAGCCTTTGATATTGATCTGGAGGATTCTAAGGAAGCATCCTTCCTCATATATCACTGGGATCCCACTTACAAACACAGGCTCTGTTTTCATGGTTCCATTCTCTTGCCTGGATATGTATACAGCGGCCACAAACGATATGTTGCTATCAAACTAGAACCAAAAGGAATTCTTTTTGTGACGCTCTTGTATAAAGAACCGGCGGTTTCTTTACAACGCTTGCCTTCGATCAAGAAGAATGCGTTATTTGGTGTGGATTTGGAAACGATCATACTTCGAGAAAATTCAGGTTTGAACGTGCCATTGTTGGTTCATAAATGTGTGCAAGAGGTAGAGCGACGCGCCTTGGATACTGTAGGGATTTACAGACTGTGTGGTAGCGCTAGACGAAAAGCCATGCTGCGAGAGAGTTTCGAGAACAACGCACAGATGGTGGACTTGTCTCCGGAGAATGTCTCCGACATACACGTAGTCACAGGTATGATTATACTGTCTTGTGCTGGTGTTGTACAGTGCTTTTTGAAAGTCGTGACCTCAATCTTTAACAAATATCTCAAAAACTCCTGTACAAATCAATGCGAATTTTTGCATGTGACCTTAGATTTTTCATGTCCTTATGATTTCATAATTAAAAATTGCACAGGTGCTGCTGTTTTCTCAAAGCTGAGAATTTCCATTGATCTCTGTTGGGCTAATAATTTGGGCTAAAAAAAAGAATATGCCGTAATTGACACGCGCGTAGAGATGGTTTGAAATCATCTCACGTGTGCAGCTTCCCGCATACACTGGAAAATTATGTTCATGTAACTCGCTGGAGGCTAATGTTGGACATGAACACCTGTGAGTGAAACGCATGTGAAACTCGTGCAATCGGATGTTTTGAAAACTTCCTGTGAGTCAGTAAACTGTAAACGTGCTAATTGTTTGCTTTGAAAAGGCGTCTTTTTGTTCTCATTTACTGCACACAAGTCAACAACAATACATTTCTTACAAGGGCATGATTATTATTAACATGCTGCATGCACAATTTCAACAATTCACACTGTACGGTTGCTGACTTTACAGATTTTTACAGTTTGGCAGGACTTTGGGAACGGACTATACTTATCCGGAGGCTAGCCTACTGGCACGAAAAGCCTTGGATTTCTATCCTATCTCCTCGTGTGAGGTCACGGCTCCATTATGAGCTTGAGTTGAGTTGACTTGAGTCAAGAATTGACATCACAGCACTCGAGGCATTCTCATGCATGCTCCGTCCTCACGTTCACAAGCCAGCGCACAAAGTAACGTAGTCTTCGAGTCGAACGTAAATATAGTTATTTGTTCGTCTATCACAAGAGTTTAAGTCCACTCTTTCTTTCATCCACAATGAAACTGTATTTGATTCTCTGTGAGTCCGGAGGTGACTTGTAAACCCAGTACTAGCCAGGAAGGATCTAGGACAAGGGTTCTCAAACTGTGAGTCCGGAGGTGACTTGTAAACCCAGTACCAGCCAGGGAGGATCTAGGACAAGGGTTCTCAAACTGTGGGTCCGGAGGTGACTTGTAAACCCAGTACCAGCCAGGGAGGATCTATGACAAGGGTTCTCAAACTGTGAGTCCGGAGGTGACTTGTAAACCCAGTACTAGCCAGGAAGGATCTAGGACAAGGGTTCTCAAACTGTGAGTCCGGAGGTGACTTGTAAACCCAGTACTAGCCAGGAAGGATCTAGGGCAGCGGTTCTCAAACTGTGAGTCCGGAGGGGACTTGTAAACCCAGTACTAGCCAGGAAGGATCTAGGACAAGGGTTCTCAAACTGTGAGTCCGGAGGTGACTTGTAAACCCAGTACTAGCCAGGAAGGATCTAGGACAAGGGTTCTCATACTGTGGGTCGCGACCTCTTTTGGGGTGGAACGACCATTTCACAGGGGTCACCTAAGACACATATTTATTGAAGTTATGAAGTAGCAACAAAAATAATTTTATGGTTACAACATGAGGAACTGTATTAAACGGTCTCGACATTAGAAAGGCTGAGAACTACTCATCTCGGACAATTACAACAGGTAACAGTATCTGCAAATGGGTCTAGTTTATGGGTCTTTCTATCCTGTCTTCGCTGTTCAGCTGCCCTTTTTCCCTACATGCCCCACAAGTCGCTGCACCTCTTCGGAAAGACGTTCTCCATATAGTCCGGTCTTGTGCAACGGCCTCCCAAGTGTCAGTGTTTGTATTGAAAGCTTGAAATGATACCTTTATCGTGTCCTTGGAGCGTTTGTCCTCTTGCGAATTTTTATGGCTGCAACCCCTCCCCCACCTTTTCCTTTTCATGTTGAAGTCGAGAGGACCGACTTCATTCAATCAGGTTTTATCATATATGGCTCGATCTCTCTCCGTAGAACGGCTAGCTGCCTGCCGAGAGCGCCGCACAGAGCTCCGGCGACGGTCCCCAGCCATGTAACGAACCCGCGACCCTCAGAGTGCGAGGCAAACGGCTTGACCACTTCGCCACGCTGACCCCATCCCTCTTTCCCACCCACATACGAATTATTTAAGGGGAAGGGGGGGGGGCGGTTGCCATAAAATTCCCCTAAAAACTGTTGATAAACCTAATGTACCTTACCCTCAGATTCTAGATAAATTGGAGTGTTCTATAACCTGGCCATTATAAAGTAGACACAAGAAACAATGTTCAGTATGTCATCTTTGATCTGTTGACAGGTGTGTTGAAGGACTACCTACGAGAACTGCCTGAGCCTTTGTTTACCAATGCCCTGTACCAGATGCTGCTGGATGCCTTAAGTGTGCGGCTGCCCTGTGATCCAGAAGGAAGTGCTAAGTTGATGCTCAGCATTTTGGAATGCCTCCCTTCTGCAAATCAGGTTTGGCTCGATTCAGTTTTAAAAATTACCTAATCTTTGTGTTTTATATACAAAAGAGATACTGCCAGGTTTACTGAGCTTAAATTCTTTTAATTAATATACCGTTAAAGAAGATGAGAAATATTGACATCTTAAAAGATCTGAACATCAAGGAGGATTGGCTAATAAACAGCATCCTTTTTCGAAAGCTGAAATATTTTGGTCATATCAAGCGCCACGACCGATTGGAGAAAAATATAGCAGAAGGCATGGTACCAGGAAGGAGGGGCAGGGGCCGACCGGCACGAAGATGGGCACATGATATAAGTGACTCCTGGGGTGTGAAAGTGATGAGGCGGGAGAGCTGGTGAGAGACCGAGTTTCATTCAGGCAGACTGTGATGAGAGCAACGTTCTGCAAAGGACCTGCTACACGATGATTATACCGTTGGTAGTCATTCTATTCACAACCCTCTGTCTCTTTGTACTTTCTATGAGTTCTGCTGACACAGAAGATCTTCCATGCCATGATGTCAGGCTGCCCAAAATCTTCTCTCTTGGTCTTCCTCTGCCTCTTTTCGTCTCCAGCCTTTCCACCACCATGACGTACTCTTCTCATGATATTAGCCTAAATTAGGTACCAGAAAATGTCCGGCGAAGTAAAAGTGACCAGTGTTGACCACAATACCCAAGGTATGCTGACTGATGTATACAAATATGTGTCCAGCACAATATACAGAAGGCTCGACATGGGTTTCCTATTTTGTTTTACTGAGCTTTCGTGCTTAGTCAGCTCAAAAGAGACAAAAGAGGAACTATGCTGAAAGGTAAAGCTTCAACATTGACCAAATCATCTGAAAAACGTGATTTAAGTCTAAAAAATGTTTTAGAATTAACTATCCTGAAAAGAGATAAAACCGAACGAAAATTAGACCAGTGAGCTTCAGACTATAACAAACAAAAACAGAAAGTGGACGTTGTGGCTCCAGAGCTTTCATCAGCACATTAGATAAATCAAACAAAACCACACGAAAACACAAAATCCTTCAACTGGTGTGTTTCCAAGAGCAGCCTTGTAGATGTCTGGCCACTGAAATTAAAAGTAACCTGACCAGCCCAAGAATAAAAAGCCTGAGAATGCCATGTGCTATGACTCGAGAATTTTAGGTGAAACTATGTTGACAGTTCAGTTTCCTTGGTGTGCCCAAGGCAAAAATAGACTCTCAAAAGACTTACGGCTCTGTCGCTGGAGTTGCTAGATTTAATGGCTGTCACCTCCATGTCACGGACACCTTGGTGATCTTAACAACCGAAGTAAAAGGGTATAGTTTCAGAGCACCTTTCTGCACATCCAAAAGTTGTTGTCTGAACCAGTCAGCAAGTCGTAGACCAATTTCACTGAAGTATTTCATGCCACATCTCTTGCAGATGATGGCCTAAATGACACTTCAGCTCATGCAGATGATGGCCTAAATGACACTTCAGCTCATGCAGATGATTGCTTAAATGACACTTCAGCTCATGCAATAAAATGCCTCATGTATATGGAAAGTGGCAAGAATTGACTTTCATTATATACCCAAAACACTTGTGTCCTTAATTAACACTGTCAGTCCGAGATGGTTTTGTGCATATGCTCAAATAGCAAAGAAAATGGCATTACAATGAATCATTAAAGAGTTATTTTGAACAAGGTTACACACACACTAAAAACAGCCAATGTGACAGCTATGTTTCTTCAAAATGCTAAGACGAAAACTAAAAAGTAATTGATGACCAAAACTGAAAAGTTTCAGTTCATATTCATATGTTTGCAATTCAAAATTGGTGCCATGTGGCCTAAAACTTGATTGGCTTTGTTTACTAATTATTGCAATGACTGCTAGAATGGAAACTGATAAAACTCATACATGCGTGACATCTCAGACATGTCTGTTTCATTTCAGGACACCATGGCACTGCTCCTGAATCATCTCCGAAGAGTGGCTGCTCATTGTGACAAAAATAAAATGACAATCGACAATCTGGCAATTTGTTTTGGGCCTGTGCTGCTGTGCCCTGCCCCAAGCTCCACTCCTGACTTGGCCATGGACTTTAAGAAGCATATAGAAGTGCTGAGATACTTACTTGAGATCTGGGACTATGAAGGCAGCACAAGTAAGCCATTTACAATTTAATTCTTTCAACCATATATCATGTCTTCCTTATAGCCCTATTACAACATATATCTTTGTGTCGCAGTCGAATGTTCTTTCAGTACCATGCAACTATCATGCCATCATTATAGCCCTATTACAACATATATCTTTGAGTCGCCGTCGAATGTTTGGTCACTTCTCTCCGCCTCTGTTTTCAGATGCAATGGACTTGATATTTGCACATTACAGATATTTCCAGCAAGTCATATTCTGTATCAAAGTCTTACTTTATCTTCTCTCTCTCTCTCTTTCTCTACCGAGGGCAGCTTTCATTGTGGAGAAGCTAATGTCATGTTATTATTGATAACTATGGACATGATACATTTTTTTTTATCTGTATATACCCACCCCCGCATGCATGCACACGCACACATACAGATACACACATACGGACACAAGCACACACATTTGATGTATGTATATATGTTTTATTTATGTCCTACTCCTTTAGGTACAGTGACCTCAAAATCTCCAACCGCTGACACAGTGGTCTCTGCAGACAATGGGGATTCCCCTCAGCAAACATCCCAGCACCCCCAGGTATCAGATAAACAGGGTCAAAGTTCACATGAATATGGAACAGACTCCTCTGCTCAGGATGGATCTACGGGACCCTCTTTAAAACAATGACAACATTTTAGTTTTAGCAATATATCTAGAACATTATTCATAATCTCCTTGCATTTGTGGATCTGTGTATCAATATTTTTTCAACAAATTATTTAGTAATTATTAAATAACAGCTAAACAAACACTCACCTAGTTCAATGGTTTAAATCCACATCTAGGCGGATTTGTTAAGAAATGGACCTTGGTACCCAGGTTGACCCAGCCTAAAATGGGTACCAGGTAAGGTCATGGGAAGTAAAAGATGGCCAGTGTTATGTTGAGCCCATCAGCCATCCAATGTAGATTTGTCTGTAATAAAACAAATCTAGCACACATTGTCTCATTTACTCATCATCATCATATAGCAGGTCATTTGCAGAACGTCGCTCTCATCACGGTCTGCCTAATAGAAACTCGGTCTCTCCAGTTCTCCTGCCTCATGCACTTTCACACTCAAGGAGTCATTTAAATCTTGTGCCCATCTTCGTGTCGGTCGGCCCCTGCCCCTCCTTCCTGGTACCATGCCTTCTGCTATAATTTTTTTCGATTCCGTCATGCCGCTTGATATGACCAAAATATTTCAGTTTTCGAGAAAGGATGCTGTTTATTAGCCAATCTTTCTTGATGTTCAGATCTTTTTAGATGTCAATATTTCTCATCTTCTTTGTCCAAGATATTCTGAGAATCTTTCTATAGCATTTCAGCTCAAGAGCCCCTATTCTCTTACTAGAGAAAAAATGATCTTTTACTAACGTTGCCTAGTGCTGAGTGAGAATATAACACAGAAGAGATTTATCCTCTTGGTTTGCCATCCAGTGTGAGATTCTTGAAGTCTGAAGCTTAGTCAAACCTCCAGACAGCGGCCTGGTGGGGAAGAAACCTCATAGAAAAGGTTATTATGAAAATTCCATTCTATTAAGTTACAATTAAGTAAACACAGTTGCGTATCCCTTACAGGACCTTGCAGAACTAGCCCCAGCATTTGTTGGCTGTTGTGGTTTTTCTAGGCGAATGTTACGTTCGGTAGTTTGCTATTGCTTACTGAATTGTCAGCTCTCGGTACTACTGTTGAAACCAATGCAAGACAAATCGTCCGCAGCTAGGATCGAACCTGGAACCCTGACAAAATAAAGCATGTTCAATGCCCCTAAGCCACAGACTCTGACAATTAATTATAAATTATATTGATGTTATGTTTGTGATGTTAGACCAGTCGGCACTCTGCGGGTGATGTGGTCAGTGTGGGTGATGTGGTCAGTGTGGGTGATGTGGTCAGTGTGGGTGATGTGGTCAGGTTTGGTGATGTGGCCAGTGTGGGTGATGTGGTCAGTGTGGGTGATGTGGTCAGTGTGGGTGATGTGGTCAGGTTTGGTGATGTGGTCAGTGTGTGTGATGTGGTCAGTGTGGGTGATGTGGTCAGTGTGGGTGATGTGGTCAGTGTGGGTGATGTGGTCAGTGTGGGTGATGTGGTCAGTGTGGGTGATGTGGTCCATGTGGGTGATGTGGTCAGTGTGGGTGATGTGGTCCGTGTGGGTGATGTGGTCAGTGTGGGTGATGTGGTCAGTGTGGGTGATGTGGTCAGTGTGGGTGATGTGGTCAGTGTGGGTGATGTGGTCAGTGTGGGTGATGTGGTCAGTGTGGGTGATGTGGTCAGTGTGGGTGATGTGGTCCATGTGGGTGATGTGGTCAGTGTGGGTGATGTGGTCCGTGTGGGTAATGTGGTCAGTGTGGGTGATGTGGTCAGTGTGGGTGATGTGGTCCATGTGGGTGATGTGGTCAGTGTGGGTGATGTGGTCAGTGTGGATGATGTGGTCAGTGTGGGTGATGTGGTCCATGTGGGTGATGTGGTCAGTGTGGGTGATGTGGTCAGTGTGGATGATGTGGTCAGTGTGGATGATGTGGTCAGTGTGGGTGGTGTGGTCAGTGTGGGTGATGTGGTCAGTGTGGGTGATGTGGTCAGTGTGGGTGATGTGGTCCATGTGGGTGATGTGGTCCATGTGGGTGATGTGGTCCATGTGGGTGATGTGGTCCGTGTGGGTGATGTGGTCAGTGTGGGTGATGTGGTCAGTGTGGGTGATGTGGTCAGTGTGGGTGATATGGTCCATGTGGGTGATGTGGTCCATGTGGGTGATGTGGTCCATGTGGGTGATGTGGTACATGTGGGTGATGTGGTCAGTGTGGGTGATGTGGTCAGTGTGGGTGATGTGGTCAGTGT